GGTGATGTGGGTGATGGGGGGTTGGGGGGAGGGTGAAGTGACATGGTTGTCCCACCTTTAGACCCTGGAGCCCTGGAAGCTCTATGCCACCGTGGGGCTGCTGGTGGGGCTGGACGTGGTCACCTTGATCATCTGGCAGATCGTGGACCCCCTGCACCGAACCATCGAGGTGGGACAGCCTGGGGGTTGGGGCTGGGCCTTGGGGGGGGTCCTCAAGGGGTTGGGGTGTCTCTGGGCGGGGGTTGTTCTTGACCTTGAGGGTCCTCAAGGGGTTGAGGTGTCTCTGAGAGGGGGTTGTTCTTGACTGTGAGGGGCCCTCAAGGTGTTGGGGGGTTGTTCTTGACCTTGAGGGTCCTCAAGGGGTTGAGGTGTCTCTGAGAGGGGGTTGTTCTTGACTGTGAGGGGCCCTCAAGGTGTTGGGGGGTTGTTCTTGACCTTGAGGGTCCTCAAGGGGTTGAGGTGTCTCTGAGAGGGGGTTGTTCTTGACTGTGAGGGGCCCTCAAGGTGTTGGGGGGTTGTTCTTGACCTTGAGGGTCCTCAAGATGTTGAGGTGTCTCTAGGAGGGATGTTCTTGACCTTGAGGGGTCCTCATGGAGTTGGGGTGTCTCTGTGGGGGGTTGTTCTTGACTTTGAGGGGCCCTCAAGATGCTGGGGGCATGTTCTTGACCTTGAAGTGTCCTCAAGATGCTGGGGGGTTGTTCTTGTCATTGAGGGGTCCTCAAGATGTTGGGGGGTTGTTCTTGACCTTGAGAGGTCTTCAAGGGGTTGAAGGAGATTTTCTTGTCATTGAAGGATCCTCAAGGTGTTGGGGTGTCTCTGTGAGGGGTTGTTCTTGACCTTGAGAGGTCTTCAAGGGGTTGAAGGAGATTTTCTTGTCATTGAAGGATCCTCAAGGTGTTGGGGTGTCTCTGTGAGGGGTTGTTCTTGACCTTGAGGGGTCCTCAAGGGGTTGGGGTGTCTCTGAGGGGGGTTGTTCTTGACTTTGAGGGGTCCTCAAGATGCTGGGGGCATGTTCTTGACCTTGAGGGGTCCTCAAGGTGTTGAGGGGTTGTGCTTGACCTTGAGGGTCCTCAAGATGTTGGGGTGTCTCTGAGGGGGGTTGTTCTTGACTTTGAGGGGCCCTCAAGATGCTGGGGGCATGTTCCTGACCTTGAGGGGTCCTCAAGGTGTTGGGGGGTTGTTTTTGTCATTGAGAGGGTCCTCAAGATGTTGGGGTGTCTCTGGGAGGGATGTTCCTGACCTTTAGGGGTCCTCATGGGGTTGGGGAGATGTTCTTGACATTGAAGGATCCTCAAGGTGTTGGGGTGTCTCTGTGGGGGGTTGTTCTTGACCTTGAAGGGTCCTCAAGATGCTGGGGGGTTGTTCTTGTCATTGAGAGGGTCCTCAAGGTGTTGGGGTGTCTCTGGGGGGTGCTCATGGTGCTGGGGATGTTCCTCAAGGCGTTGGGGAGGATCTGCTATGGAGGTTCTCCTGATGTTGGGGGGTTCCTCAAGGTGTCAGGGTGTCTCTGAGGGGGTGCAGATGGTTTGGGGGACCCACAGCAGAAGCCCCCACCCCCCCATCTCCCTCCCTCCCTGTGTCCCCCC